CATTTAAACATATACAAACGCCCCTTTGTCGAGGGTATAGTGCTGAAATGTTACTTGTAGATTTTAACTTACGAAGGTCGATCTTTGACCATTTTTTGCTTTATCATTATTTAATAAAAATTCAAATTTTATCAAGTTTTTCAACTCGATACAAACATTATCCATGGACAGTTTCTTCGGAGTCCAAGCCTATGCTTGATTTTACTTTTGTAAATGCAAAATATGAATATTGAAATTACATCATTATTAATATAATTATTTCGTTAAACATACAAGTACAATTTTACTCCACTTTACTAAAATAGGTGGAATAGAAAAACATGTTTCTAACAAAGAATACAATTTTACCAAATATGGTTCTGTATTCCTGCATTTAAATAACAGGTGTTCTTCATTTTCAGGTAGTTTGCAGTAATCAAATAAATTTGTAGCGGATAGATTCCATAATTTGCTTTTGTTGGAAGTAACATGTGACCAAATTTAAAGTTAAAATGTGCTTTCTTTTTCATGTGCATCATAGAAATCACCTTATTCTTCCAACGATGCATCCCAATCTATTGTACTCATCTGTAGATTACTTTTCCACTTGCTTTGCACTTTTGGTAGTTTTTGGTTTCTACAAAAGTTAAATAGAAGTCTTTAACTCCTTTTCTTTAAAATAACATTATAATTTAGTTTTTTTGTTTTTATTATAGTGTGTTTCTTGTAAAAATATAAGGTCTGCTTTTTGTTAATCAATTGTAGAGGTGCCATAATCATACATGGTGGGGCTGAGTTAGTCTATACTCGGCATCTGTGAAAGTACTCCCACTAAATGCACTCACAAATAACTGCGTTAAGATTGGAAATAAGCAAATATAAACAAAAACATTCATTTCTTAAATGTCGACAATCGAGTTAACTATTATTTAACAGTTCTTTATTTTTCTCTGTGTTTTCTTCCTGTCCGGATTTCTCATAAGCCTGACAGAGATTTCCCAAGGTTTCAGCAACACCTCTATTTTGAGGTTGCTGTGCCAAGACTTCCTTTCTGGTAACAAAAGCTTCCTCAAATCTGTGTACAGCTTGCAGAAACTTCCCTGCCTTCAGTAGTGTCTATCCTAACTGATGTAGTGTACCGGCTGTAGATGTGTGCACATCACCAAGTATTTTTCTACGAAGACCTAATGCTATAGTAAAGTTTTTCTCTGATTGTTCATAATCCTCTTTCATAGCATAAACTTTCCCCCTGTTGTTGTGAATAAGAGACGTATCGTGGTGATCTAGACCTAATTTGTATTGCATCGTGTAGGCCTCGTCAAGCATTTGCAACGCCTGGTCGTGGTCTCCACACTTTGCTTACTCCTTGGCCACGTTGTGATGGTTCCTTGTTAAAATGGTTTTTTTTTTTGTTCGTAGAGACATTCTGTAAACAGGAGTAAACAGGATTATTAAAATCATTTTTACAGTTTTCTTTTCTTTTTTTCTAATAACAATAGAGCCACTCCTTTAGGACACTCCTATAAAGGGAACATTCCTATTAAGGGGACTCCGTGAAACGAGGGGACATATCTTTTATAAAACTACGTCTAACCCCTATTAAGGGGACACCCTTATTAAGGGGACTTTCCGAGTGTGGAAAATAGTCAAATCAATTTAACTCATAATTAATCATTCAACCTTCTAACACCTTCTGAGCTAACATCAAACCATGTTTTCCTCTCAATCTTTAGAATGGACATGAGTGTGCTTAGTCCATGTGTTACTTTGTGTAAATACAATCATGTAAGTTTTGACCATTAACCATGTGATATGTGATTTCTTGTTTTGTGTATTTTTATATAGTATTATATATATACATCTTACAGCCTGTACATTTATTTTTAAGTCGTTTCTCTACTCACGCTATTCTATTTTGTGCATCCAATAGAAAGCTCAATTAAGAAAAAAGACTATTTGTTCATTAACAATGCACTTGAATCAAGAAACAATATCGGGAACATATACAACTTTAATTGCATATCTGTTGATTACATATCATAGAGGAATTATCTTTTGAATTGCAAATTATTGTTAGAAAATTTAAAGGCAGCACTCAGAGACTAACTTAGATGTTATTTATTTAACACAAGCTTTCGCTGGCAGTCATTGCCAGCTTCATCAGGTGAAGCTGGTACCTGATGAAGCTGGCATATAAGTTTCATTACCAGGCTTCATTACCAAATTATTGTTATAAATTAGTTACAGAAACTCATTCGTAGGTCAAAACCCGTATTAAGGGACAGTTTAACACTTTTTGTTAGTGTCCGCTGAATACATTTCTATTAAGGGGACACTCCTTTTGGTCGATAAGATGTTCCCTTAATAGTGGTTCTACGGTATGAATAATCTCGATTTCTCACACCTTCTAAAGAAATGTTCACATCACTTGGTTGGCTAAACCTTAATGATGTATTTCACCTTAAACGATCATCTTTAGTATATATGGTAAGTGTTTAAATGGAAATGTGCTTGAAAAAAAATCGTATTTTACATTTGATAATGAAAATCATAATCATTTTACAAGAAATAGTTGCAAATCACTTTCACTGGACAAATGTATTATATCGTTTTGGGATGATCTTAGCAACAGGAGGGCGCCCTATACGTTTGGACCAACTATAGAAAACCTGCATTATAGAAAGAGAAGGGCGCCGCGTACGTCTGAACCAATTTCCGCCTCATTTTTGCTATGCGAGTGCTCGATCTTGCATTGCTAGTAGGCCTACCTTTGGTTGTACTTGACTGTTTTTTTTTTCTAAAGCTCCGTCCGCACTATCAGATTGTATGCGACAAATAAATGTGATGTGCCTAAATATATGGGCATGGCGATGCTTTATTGCACCTGAATATGGGTGTGTTATTATTTGTCACATAAATTGTGATAGTTAAGACACTGAAGGGATGTTTCATGATGAAAACTCTTCGGATTCAGTGTCTTACAAAATCAGGTTACAACTTAGCCAGACTTTAAGGTAGCTTAGAAATTAACGATAGCTTATAGTGAGTCAAAATGTTTTAAAAGATTGTAGTTGGTATTACCTGTAGCAGTGGAATTGTGTCCAGTAAAGAGGGCACTGCTGGGCAGCTTCAGTTCCTCTTGATCCTGATGCCAATGCAATGACCACAGCCAAGGTGATAGCAATACGCAGCATGGTTACGCCTATAGCACATGAATTAAATGTTTGCGGGAAAGATCTGTAGGCCGTAACAGTAACGAGGCATGAGTGAAGCACGTATAATGAGACGTATAACTTATTCAATTCAATCTTTTATTTCAGACAAATTGACAAAAGTCCATGTTAAACATACAACAAAAAATAGAGTAAAGGAGTAGAAGCAATGGAATAACCAAAACAAAAAAAAAAAAGAAAAAGAAAGAAAAAAAAAATGCAATGATTAAAGAAAACTATGCAAAGAGAAGTATTTAGCTACTGTATTTAGCTTAAAAATACACAACAACATTTGATTACAGTACTTACGTGTGCTTTTAACTACATTTAATTCGTCATAAATCTGTTTTATATAACAGACCACCTGTCTGATGTGATGTAAAAACAACATCGGATGTTATATTCTATAGAATTTTACAGAATAATCATATTAACTTTAAGCACACAGACGTAATGAATCGCTAGTTTTTGTGTTTCTGTATCGGATTTATTGAATTTTTATATAACATACATTTATTTTCTCAATTTTAGGACATTTTTTGGTACAAATGAAGATTCTACGTAAACTTAATTCTTTTTGCAATTGCCCACTAGTTTTACTAGGGCCTATTTTAAATATTTCAGGCCCGTTTTATTAGGAAAGACTATTTTTTAGCCATGCCTAACTAGTCGCCGCGAGTGACTCAGTTTGGTGGTTCCAATATTGTTACTACGTTAATTGTACCTTACTTTGAATTCGGTCTATGGCCTGTTTTGTGAGACTCATACGGTCAATCTGAAAAATCAATATAGTATTAGCATGTTTATTCCATTTTTATTTTTTGTAGGGGCTTGGTTAAAAAACACTTGATGGCAGATTTTTGTTTAATTTGCTTTTCCTCCAACCCCGTTAAATCCATATTTTTGTTTCTTTGTCGACAGATTGAAAATAAATTAATATAAATAAAATTTAATCATAAAATTGGGAGAAATCTTTAAAGGTCTTACCTTTCCAGTAATCGATTTCGGAAAACTGTCAAAAATCAACACATAGCCAGGTACACTTCCTTCGAGTCTCACCTAATAAAAGAATTTAATTTTCCATAAGCAAAAAAAAAAACAAAAAAAAAAAAAAAAAAACAAAAAAAAAAAATAAAAATATATAAATAATTATATATATATATATATATAAAATATAAATCCTACAATAATCATGAAATTAATATAATATGCGGACATTCTTGTTGACTTTTTGAAATAAACGTTTAAAACTATTTGTACGATCTAACATAAGACAATTATGAGTAAGGTCACTCAAAGTAACATCGTTATTGAGTTTACGCACCTTTCCAGTTAGGTAAGAGACAATCTGGTCTTTGTCAATGATGACGTTCTTCTTTGTCCTATTTTCATAAATAAAATAAATACTTGTAACTATAATGCAGCTACGATTATAACAAATAACTTTTATATAGTTATAATAATGAAGTACGGTAGTATCTAATGCACAGTGATTCCACTGTGTTAAAATTATATAATGAGTATAATAGTCTTACATACCTTAAGCAAATACAAATTTCTTCAGATAGGCGCTCATCCGGTACCCCAATTACCTGGCAAATATTAAGCAATAGATAACCAACATTAAATCACTCACCATAGGAATCAACGAGAACATAAATGGCACAATGCACTGTTCCGCTAAGCTCCGCCCCTTGGATATTGTTGCTATGGTCCTATGACAGTGTAGACGTACGCAGACACGTGCGTTACTACTATACTCGGGGCAGGGCGAAACACGTACTACTGGGCCTATTTCTGGATCCATTTATGTCACTATTGGAATAGGAGCCTGATGGGGTAGGGGAAGTTCGAAGGTGGAGTGTGAGGGATTAGGTGGGGAGAGGGAGGTGCGAAAGTGAAGTGGAAGGGAATGCGCTACACAGCGTACCCAAGTAGGTACACCAAACTATGTCACGTCAATTTGTAGATGTAGACGCGCCCACAACAAATTATAAGGAGCAAACAAGATGAAGAAAATTCATTGAGATAAGATTACCAACCTGAACCAGCTCAATAGATGGATGTCGTGAGAGAACATTTTCTATGTTGGCTGGAAAAATCTTTATACCACCCCTGTCTATCATATCCTGTGTAAACAAAAATAAAATTCTATTGAACGATAGTCTAATGCAAAGTAAATATTTCTTTTGTATATACCGATACACTATGTAAGGTACTCGGATTTGTGGCGCCAGTGAGAGGGGAATCGAAAAGAGCTGTAACCCCCACCACTCCCGTCGGTATAAAATAAATATACAGAGTGTGAAACTTTAAAATTCATTAAACAAACCTTTCAAATCATCCATAAATTGAGTTTCTGGAACTTTTCCCTCTGGACCCCCTCTGAGATGAGAGGTTTTGGCCTGCTCCTGACCCCGCCCACGTATGTTCCCGGGGAAATTTGCCTTCAGCAGTCACATAAACCAGCCTCCACCCATCGGCGACATCTTCGGACCCCCGTCGTGCAAGCTCAGACGACACTAATTTGGATCTAGTGCAGGGTTGTGGATTACTTGCGTGAAGTGTGAGGGGTTAGGTAGACATAAATAATAGACATTTCCGGAGTGTCGACCAAACGTAACTATTGATCAATCAGAAGAGCGCAACACACGCTTGTCCCAAACCCACAATAGGGAGTTTTCGATTGCACGACGACGGTAGGACCTAGAACGTAATGGCGTCACTAAAAGTCATCTGCGCATGCGAGAACGTTAAGGTCACCTCGTCGAGTAGATTCTGAACGCAATTTGGCCAAATCTACGTATGTAAGAACGTAGGACGCCCGGTAGGACGGTCACGCATGAGTCATTCCGTTCTAGCGTCGAATCGTCGCGCAAATCGAAAGCTCCCTAGCATCCAAGGGCGGGGCTTGTGGACAGGTCCATTTTGTTTGAGGATTGACTTCTTCATTGACAATGAAGATCAACGTGTGGCTATTTTAAATATATTACCTTTTTTCTCCCGACTATTGACAACACACCAGCAGCGTTAAAAACACCAAGGTCACTAAAGTAAATATCAATATTATAAATATTTCATAATACAAATGTATTTACATATTCATGATTTACTAATTTACTATTGTAAATAATAGTGATGATGATGAAGATTGAAAATGATGATGATGATGATGATGATGATGATAATGATGATTATGATGATGATGATGATGATGATGATGATTGCTAGTTATTTTCACGTACCTTTCTATTAGTTAGGAAATAACAATATTGAAGCCGGACACACTGCGCCGTACGACTATCGTACGACAAGGACCATCGGCAGACGAAACCATATCCGTTTTGTTTGAGTGCATAACTACACGACGAAATCTGACTGTCAGTCACAGCAAAGAATGGGGAGAGCGGGGCTAGTTGCATCGGGGGCAAGTTGCATCACAGGGGTTTTCTTTAAATATCAACATATTGGGCTCTGGCAACCACACCCATCGCCTAATAGCACACAAACGTTTGACGCGATCCAGTAAAGCTTGAATATTTTAACAAAGAAATCGTTATTTTTACCCTTTTACCCATGTAAGTAAAATACTGATGCATTGGTTTGGTACATATAATTGCACTAAGATAATGTTGATGAATACCGTAAGTTAAGAGTTATACATTTATATTTTTGTAAACAGTATAGATAATTAAAAAAATTAATTAATATTTTTTTTGAATATTTTAACAAATACAATACTTGAACAATGGTAAGACGATACATTCAAAAGAAAAATAGGGAAAAGACCCAGAACAACTGAAGTGAGTGGCAAGCAAATTTTTATTGACCGAGAGACTGCCTGTGCCAAGTGTCGCAAAGGACAACAATGTGCATTATATAGCAGTGTAGCACACTCAACAGATTAGTGAACAGGTTAAATAAGGGTATGGGGGCGATGATCATGTAGAATATACCATTTTTGTCAAGAAAATTGAAATCCATGCTTTAGAACACACGACCATAATGTTATTCTTTCTTGGGTAATTATCAAAGGTTATAGTATTGGAAGTTGGCCTTCAAAATATATTTTGTTGTTTATATAATTCTGCTAGAGGTATTCAGTTGATATTAAAAAAGATATGTTGATTTTTTAATGATGCAACTTGCCCCTCGGACGGGGCAATTTGCATCATTAAAAAAAAGGTCTCGTAATTTCGAAAGCTCGGATGAGGGCAGTAGAGTATATTGGCCCTAACGGCCGCCCATACAAAAAAAGATCTATTAAGCAATCAGCACAGGAAAGATCTATTAATAAATCAGCCGGGTATTCATAGAGCTCCTCATCAGATCTAAAAATAATATTCAACTCTCAATATTTCTATAAAAATTAACTTATCTGTTATGATTTCACTTTTAGTAGTATGTCAATCTGATGTTACCCCTCAGTTAGTTTAGTTGACATTGTATCTACTTTTCAAAAGATATTAACAAAAGTATAAAAAATTATGCAACCAGCCCCGCTATAGAATGGATTCTCACTGGCGAAAGTCCGAGCGAATCGTTATCAAAGTCGACGTTGCACGCGCCAGTAGCATTGCGTTCTTTTTATGGGAACAGCGTCAGCCGACGGCCGTCTGTACTGCGGGTCCGGAGCTAATTACCCAGTTTTAAACCACCCGTGGGGTGATTTAGCTGCTTTCGTCTGTTCATCATTCCCCATGTATCTCTGAAAGTTACCACAACAGCGGCACCAAATTTCACCATTACTGCCAACAGGTACACACTTTCCGTCATCATCAACCAATTGTATCTAGAAGTTGAATTAACAAAAACATAATCATTATCATGTGAGAAGTTATGTTTGGGAAATGTTTAAGTGTTGAAACCTGCGTGCAGGCACCGTAAAAAGGTTAAAGGTTATTAATTTACCTCTGCATTTGGCAATATTCGAACTCCAGAACACCGTGCATCCAGTGGGTCCAACGGAGAGCTTATGGATGCTACTATCACTTCAGTTGAAGCATACACTATCTGGAATTTAATGAAAATGATTTAGCAGGCCCGTAGGCAGGATTTTCGGTGGGGAGGTGCGTTTTGCAACCGAAGCGGACCTTACGATGGGCGACTGCCTAGGGATCCCCGCGAGGGTGGGGCGAATCTTCTGGAAGCTCTGACAAATTAGCATTTTGAGGGACTTTTTTAATGGATTTCTAAAATCCATAATTTGTAATATCCTATTTAAATTTTCATTCATTTGAGTATTGTCTAGGGACCTACAGTAAAGCAGGAGAAATAAAGGGTGGGGTGAAGGAAGAAACTTGCACAGACAGATGGTCAATACCGATGAGGTAAGAACATTTATGATTATGGCACCTGAATGTGGCCGGAAATGGCACTCTCAGACAAACTTTTCTTTTTTCTCCATTACTTTTATAATTTTAGGGGGCTCTCTCCCTTGAATCTACCACTGTGAAATTATAATATTTCATGTCCTTTACATCTGTAGGCCTACAATTACTGGAGTTGATAATTTCCAACAGATTTCGTAGCACTTCATTAAAAATCAACGAATAGAAGAGCGGGCAAAAAAAATATAATGCATACTATAGCATTTCGCGATAATTAGGAACGATTTTAGTGAAATAATAGGTTTTAAAAAGTGGACTTTTAAAAAGTGGTCCAGGGGCAGAAGCCTGGAGGGGGTTTGTGAGAAAAGCGACAAAGTAGCATTTTGAGGGTCTTACATAATAGATTTCTCAAACACATAATTCATGAATATTTCATTTAAATTTTCATTAATTTGGGTGTTTTTGGGACCTGAAAAAGTAACGTTATTATGGCGTGTACGGTACATCCTACGGTGCAGTCCTATAGATAACATTCTTCATATTATAGATCAATCTGCAATCACCGGAGACGATCAATTTCTAACCAATTTTATACCACATTAATAAAAATCAACGGTTAGATAAGCTGGCAAATATATAATGCAACGCATGCTATAGCATTTTGTGATAATTTGGAACGATTTTGTGAAATCATAGGTTTTAAAAAGTGGACCTTTTGGATGTGTATAAGAGACAGATCCAGTAAAGCTTGACTCTGCACCCCCCTGCCTACGGGCCTGTTTAGGCCTAGTTAAACATTGTGCTGTCATAATTCAGGATTTATACTATGGTAATATTTTACAGTCACATACTCGTACATTTAAAGATATATATATATGCAAACAAAACAGACTACTTACCAGAGTTTTGCAAGCAAATTTTTCTTCAAAATCCTTCGCCATTTTTGGAGGGATGTTTGATCCTCCGGTTAAACCTAATAATTTGAAGAAGAACATTGCTGCGATGAAATAACTATTATTTATTAATATCATCTACTTATGTAAAGGGTGTTTCGAGTGCACAATTTTGCTTGATAAACCATAATCCTCTAAAAATTCTAAATGCTTCATGAGTAGCCCTTTTTATCGGAAATAAGTGCCAATTAAGTTAATAGTTACGTACAAATATCGAGAGAGGTTACATCATATTCTCCGATGTCCTTGAAGTTCAACATGTCGTATAGATAAGTAATTAAGAAGAGCACATCAGTACACCTTCGGAATTAAAGAATCGAACTTTAAAAACAAAAAATACTGTATTAAGATATGTTTGATTGAAAAGGATCATAACGGATATCCGAATGCCTATAATTATTTGTAGGAATGGTGTTGGTGTACCATTAATAAGAATACATGGTCTAGCTAGTGGTTAAGACACCAGGCTAGTTATTTGGAGGTTGTGGGTTCAATTCCCACCCGAATTAAGTGTGATACTTTTTTTGCAAGTATTTGGAAACGTACTGAGCATTTCGTACGATAACACGTCATTTATGGCAAAACTATTATTTTCCTATTCCCACTTGTGAGATTATTTCGCAAGTGTTTGGGAACGTACTGAACATTCCGTACGATAACACGTCATGTAGGGCAAACACCTTCCCGATTTAATCTCCTGACGAAAACACCATCGGAATAGCATTACACTACCAACTGCAACTGCTGATTGAGGATCGGATTCAACACTAGCCACTAAGCACATGCTAGGTGATTTAGTAGTTAAGACACCAGGCTAGTTATCTGTAGGTCGTGGGTTCGATTCCAAGCATAATCACTCCCGATGTTTTCCGCAAGTATTTGGGAACGTGCTGAGCATTCAGTAGACCTACTATAACACATCAGGTAGGGAAAAATACCATTCCTGTAATCTACTGACAAAAACACTATCGGAATATAATTATTTGCTTACTTAATTAACTAAAGGCTACCAGTACCTTTCATTTTGAATTG